TGAGTGTTTTTTATACAATATTTTACTTCACCTCACAATAGTCTTTTAAGGTAGGAATTTTAATTGTCTGATTTTCCAAATAAGGAAACTGAGATTCAGAGATTGAGTAACTCCATCAAGTTACAGGTAGAAAACAGCAGGGTCAGTACAGGAACAGAGGTAGCCTAATGGCACAGACCTCTTAACCTCTAAACTATCCCATTATCACAAGGGGCTAGCCAATTCAAAACTCTGGCTAAACCACTCAAATAAGGAAAGCAGATACGTTTAGGAAGGACTTTGGGGTTTCTACATTCTGGATGGATGGAACCTACATTATTAGGTCGTGTTCCATTAACAATCCCCGAATCTCAATGTCTTAGAACAAGGTGACTGCTCATTCATGCTGTGTTGGGTCAGTAGTGAATTTGGCTTAGTATTATCCTCACTCACAACTCAGTTGGCAGAGCCTCCCCCTCTGGAATGCTGTTAGTCATAATGACTGAAGAATGGGAAGATGGTGATTTGTGCACTGGCTTTAAAGGCTTCTACCTGAAGGTGATACTCATCAATTTGTTCATATTGCATTGGCCAAAGGAAGTTACATGACCACACCTAACGTTAAGGATGTGGGAAAGTAGAGTCTAACTATGAGGATTGTTTACTAACATGTTATAGGACACAGGGCATTCATTACTCAGGGGGTTATCGGAAAATAATGATGAACAGTCTCAGTAACTACCACAGTACCAAATTCTTGGAATTACTCACTTGACTCTGGTTGTGTGGACTAGCCCTACTGTAATTTAAACTTATTTGAATTTATATATTTCACAAACAGGCCTAATTCCAAATTATTTACTACCACCATTGTTCTTTTAGAACACCAAATTCACTTTCCCTCTAGTATAAAACTACATAGGTAACATTTCAGACTAAATTAATAAAAACAAGATTTAAAAAAAAAAAAAAAAGAACTAAGTAAAATCAGGGGCACTGAGTAGCCCAGTTGGTTAAGTGTCTGCCTGCAGTTCAGATCATGATCCTGGAGTTCTGGTTTCAAGCCCCGCTTTGGGCTCCTGGCTCAGTGGAGAGCCTGCTTTTCCCTCTGCCTGCTGCTCCCCTGCTTGTGTCTTCTCTCTCTCTCTCTCTCTCTCATGCTCACTCTATCTCAAATAAGTAAAATCTTGAAAAAAAAAAAAACTAAGTAAAATCTATATTCCAACTGAGACACACACAAAAAATTGAGGCTTCATGACATAATACCTGTAGAAATCCTGGCATATTGCCTGGCAAAAAGTAAGTACTCAATAATTGTTAGTTTCCTTAAATATATCAGGCTCCAATTAGTATTTCTTTAAGAGACACATCTATCTCAATATCTTACAAAGAGTGTGGAAGGCTAGCAACACTTCTGGCTCTAGTGCTCATTACTGGATGCACAACATACTAAAAAATTAAAAGGCAAAAATGAGTGACCTTGAGAGATGTTGTCCCAAAGCTCTTCCCCAGGGAGAAAATATACAAGTTAGTTCTCTGGGCCATAGTTATTTTCACATGAACTAAACCTCTGAAACCGTAGCTCTAGAATTTCTAATTAACCAGAACAGTTTTCTGACATGTGCTGATCAGCACCTCTCCAACAAGCAATTACACATTAGTACAGAATACAGCAGGTAAAGGCAAGTGGAGGACAATAGAGGTTGTTTTCTCAAGAAAAAAAAAGAACAAAACCACAAGTGGCACAATGGAATTTTCCTATTAGCTGCTGGAATAAAGAGAGATATGGGTGTCCAAAGGCAAAATGCAGAAAACTCCACACAAAAGTGAACCACAGTAATCGGAACTGTAGATCTTGAGGGAAACCCATGGTATGAGAACAATTCTCTTTGAATTTAGAAAACAAACAAGGGCAGTGCCAATCACATAATTCTGCTCATCCCTTTTCTGATTAAACCAGGGTCAAAGGAATGCCAGTCCACTAGAAAAAAATAACAGATTTTTATTATTATTACTGGTTTGGTCTCACCCATGATGAAGACATTTTGATGATGGAAGATCTCCCCAACTTTACTCTACCTTACTTGACCCCAAATATGAATACCTCCAACTGAAACCTTGTTTCTTCATTTTGTAATATGAAGAAATGCTTGCTGGGGGAGCTTTCTAGCCGGATACCCTTGAATGCACTTCCTGATGAAGTGGGAGATGCGCCAGCTGCCACTACAGATGCTGAAAGAACTGGGAACAAGTGAAGCTGATTGTAATAATATGCTGCACAAGGCTGAAGGAGGAATGGTAGTGGAGAGCCCCAGTTCAGTGGGTAGGCACCTTCCAGCTAAACAAAGGCCAAGGCAAAATTTGGTCCATTGCTCTAGCAAAGTTATGAGGATGGCTTGCCAATTTATTATATGACACTGAAGGGCTACAGAATATTTCTTAAAAAGAAAAAGAAATAGTAGCAACAAGGGGAAACTGAAAGTTTCTTGTTCCTAGAAATTATGATTGCCAATTTAAGTAAGCTGTATAGGCTGTGATTTCATAGACATGGAGAAAGCTCTCAGCCAAGAAATATATCATTTTACTACTTGCAAATGCTTTACTTACCATCAGTACAGATGTATTTCTTTGGTCTGAATCTTGCTCTGTTGTTAAAATAAAAATTCAGGCCCTAGTAAATCAGCATTAAGTCATTTACACCTTATTATAAATTAATTAATAAATTAGAATCCTACCTCAGAAATTTATGAACATCTCCTAGTAACAAAATGAGGGACAAAGAAAATAACAAGGTGTTCCATGTCTGAAGGGGATCTCTGGCATATGAGCACAGATTACTTTAAACTTAAAAATCAGAGGTTGAGAGTTAGGCTTCTGGAAATATGATAGGAAGAGGAAAACAGATGGGGAAGGCAAAGGTAAAGTTAAATGTTATTCCTTCATGTAAATGTTTTTGTTTCAATAAATTGATTAATGGAGCCATTTGCAGAAATGAGGTTTTTGAAGGCTAAGACATACTAATCTTTTGGGCCAAAGATGAAGTCCTGAAAATAAGCATTTCTTATTTTTTAATTGCTCATAACTGCCTTTTCACTGCCTAGAAAACCACTTGCCATGTGGCAGATAAAACATTTTTTTTTCATGAATGATTAAGTGAATGAGAGACTTAAAACTAAACTTCAAACCCCCAAAACAGCGTTTGCTTCAAAGCTATCACAAATTTATCCATACCACAGACTACACAGGGTGTACATAGCCCACTCATGCCCTTATTGCTCATATCCAAATATTGTTCAGAAAATCCCCAAAGCAAGTGAAAATTCATTTTAAAATCATCAATGAGGCGTGCCCAGGTGGCCCAGTGGGTTAAGCCTCTGCCTTGAGCTCAGGTCATGATCTCAGAGTCCTGGGATCGAGCCCCGCATCAGGCTCTCTGTTCAGAGGGGAGCCTGCTTCTCTCTCTCTCTCTCTCTCTCTCTCTGCCTACTTGAGATCTGTCAAATAAATAAATAAATAAATAAAATCATCAATGATGTCAACTCATCTCCCTATGGTGAAGTATTTGGTTTTTTTTTAATGTTACAAGTATAATAGCAGGTGAATTTTTAAGCCAGTTCTATTTTTTAAACAAAAAAAATGAGATAAAATTTTATGAAAATTTAGGCTGACTTTCTCATGTGGCATAAGCCAAACTAGAATTGGGTCCCAATCTTTACAGGAAAGTTCTAAGAAATGGCAGCATTGTTAGGACAATCGGCTAGCCCTCCCAAATGGCTTCTTTGAAGGATAAGATTTTTTTGAGTATCTAAATTTTTCTGTTTGTTATCAAACAGATAAATAAAAAATGTATTAAAGTCATACTCTGTTACTTATTATTCATTACAAGCATCATAAAAAAGCATAACATCATGTTTAAACTTGTTGAATCTCTATGTTGTACACCTAAAGCTAATGTAACATTGTGTGTCAGCTATGCTCAAATTAAAAAAAATATTTTTTCCTAAAAATCTCTTTTAGGATAGAGTAATGATGTATATTTTTCCTTTATACTACCTCATTTCTCCACTTGCCCTGCATCCAGCTTAGATAATAAGTACTATATGTATATAGAAGGATTCCACATGTATCTCTTCCACTTGGACCTATAGATATATACTACCTATCTCAAATTCAAATATCTAAAAAAAAAAAAAAGTCTTATATCCTTTATCTTTCCCATCTCAGTTCTTGCTCATAAATCTAATCTCTTCAGCCAGATTAGAAATCAAAAATCAAAAAATGTAAATCAGGCAATGTAAACCCTCTAAGACCTACTATCAGCTTAAAATTCAAACTTGCAACCCTTGGGCACAGCGCTCTGACCTGGCCTCTGCCTCTACCTCAGCCCCAACATCTCTCCCTTTTACTCACTCTGCTCCAGCCCCTCTACTCTGTCTGCTATTCCCAGAGCCACTAAGCTCAAAATAGATTCAGCCCATTACACTTTCTCTTCCTTCTGCCTAGAATTCCTTCTCCTCTAATCTTCAAATGTTTAATTCCTTCTCATCATCAGGACTCAGTTCAACTGCTCTCTTTTTAAAAAGTTATTTCCTGATCTATCTGAAATTTCGCCACTCTAGACACTCTCTACTCCCTAACCCTGATTTATTGTACTTATAGGACTAATCATTTCTGAAGTCATTATTTTATTGTTTACTGTCAGTTCCCCTACATCTGCAATGTCCCCTACATCAGTGCCATGAGGGTAGGAATTTTGCTTATCTTGTTTACTGTTAGGGTTTAGAATAGCACTTGGCACATAGGAGGCATACTACTGTGAATGAATGAATGTTCAATAAACCATACAAATTGTAGAGTGGTTCTAAGAAAGACCTAAGATCAGACTGCACTCTTCTGATAGTAAAGAACTGCTTATGAAGACAGCAGCCATCAGTTATGTAAATAAAGCACTGGATTTAGAACTAACACATCCACACAGGCTTGTGTAGGTTACTAGGCATGTAATCTGTATTACATATTACCTGCAAACAGGATATGTATCATTTCACAGTACCTTCAGAATCTTTGAGTACTGGATAAAATGTTGCTTTGGGAAGGTAGAAGATGACCTGAAATAAAGGAATAATATTCCCCTGGCCAGCTCTGGCAAGGTGTAGAAAATGACAAATACTAGCATCAGTTGGCTATCTTCCTTTGCTCTCTTTCCTTTTAGAGTATGCGGCCCGTTGGAAAAGAAGCATTTTATGAATTCAAAGAATTATCTTAATATATATATATATATTTTATAAAAAATAAAATTATAAAAAAAAATAAAAAATAAAAAAAATTTTAAAAAAAAGAATTATCTTATCAAATCCCCATAATTATTTTAACTATGTGGCATAATCTGTGCATAGCCAGTGATTAAGTTGTGTCATAATTAAAACAGTATCATGAAACTAATTACAAAAAGCTAGACAGACTGTGTTATCTTCCTTCTCAGTGTCCAAATGCTACATTACAGAAGAATATAATTCTACTCTGCAGACACCATTAAAATCTTCCAACATATTTTTAAATCCCTGACTGTCTGGGGGGTGAGTTGGGTCAGGGAAGGACGGGTGATGACAAAGAGTGCAGAAGAATCCTGAATGAAGTTTGAGCTTTTAGATAAGCCTTTCATCATGAGATGGGAAAATAACTAAAAATGATTGTTGGGAAAAAAAATGTTTTTTCTCTTTAGAAAAACTGTCTAATCAGAAAACCAGATAGTTTGGCTAGACTATAGGAACTATCTAGAAGACAGAAAGACCTGGTTGATATTTCTCCATTTAGACTGAAACTACAATTATTTTCCTAATTAGAGCAGATGAAGGAAAGAAGAAAGAATCCAAGAGCTAATGTTAAATTCATCCTTTCAGGTAGCTATTCACACAAGGTCAGTGGCATAAGTAAAATACTTCATATGTATACATGTCTTTGCTAACAGTACATTTATGTGTTGCTTTCATTGATACTATCATTGTTTTTACCTCCAATGGCAGGAGAGGCAGCTCATAAGTACATAGGATAAATGGCAAAAGGAAAATATCTGACATTTAAAAACTTGCCCTGGGTCACTAAGAAATAGCTACAAAATAATTCAAACTGATTTTCTTTCACCCCAGGCTACCCTGACAAAACCATAAAAATAGAATCACCCTATGGGGTTGCACAAGATAATGGCAGAAAAAGACATCAGGTAAGTATCAGGGCTTACCTTGGATCAGCGGGTGTTGGCCTGTATCATCTGCACTGCTTGGGAACTTTTTAGAAATACAACTTCTGGAATCCTAACCCAGAACCACTGACTTGGGAACTCTGGAGGTGGAGCCCAGCAATCTGTGTCTTAATAAAGCTTCCTGGTGATTCTGATGTTTGCCTAAGCTTGAGAGCCACTGTATTTTTGTCATTATCGCTGAATTCTTTTTTTCTAGTTTTACTGAGCTATAATCGCCATATGTAAGTTAACATCATGTAAATGGAAGGTGTACAAACAATAGCTCTCTATCACTTTTCCTGGAGAATTAAGGATCCAAACATGCCATCCCATGGGTGTTCCAGGCCTCCCTCCCTGCTCTAATCCTGACCCTCCCATATGCTAGATGAATGAATAGCAACACAAATAAACTGCCAATTAAACTTCTCTCTACAGCTGAAGAGAGGAGTGTCAGTAGACCTACCTATAATACCAAATCAGAGGAAGAGAGCTGGAATTTCATGTCTTTTCTCTGGATAGAGTTATGCTATTGGAAAAAACAGTTTATGATAACATTGTACATTGGCTCTTAGAACTAAAGATTAAAAGATTATAAACTCTTTGATTTCTGGTTATTCTGAATGATCTTCAGTAGCTGTCACACTTGCTTTAGCTATGTTGGCCATCTGTACATATTCGCTTAAATTAACCAACTAATATTTTTAATAGATTCCAGTTACCCTATGTATGGGAGGCAGTTGTCCTCAGCTATGTTTTTTTCTCTGTCTTCCATAGCATTGCCTCGCCTAGCCAAGTATATCATCCTGAAAATAGAAAGAAATGGCCATTTACCAGGCTCCCTTACTTAAAAGTCAGCCCTTACTGGAAAGGTATGATTATTCATACTTCTGTTCATTCAACAAATGTTAACTACACATCTGTCACATGGCAGGTACTGGGCTAGAAACTAGAAAGACATACTCAGATACAATCCTACACTTGAGAGGACATAGTTTAGTCCAAGGCAGCATACATGAATTAAGCACAAAAGGAGCTGCTAGTTGTTAAAATGGAAGTGAGCACAGGATATGACACAAAGTAAGAGGATACATTCAAGTCTACTTATAAGTGTGGCAAGGTGTCTGGTATCATTATGCCTGAACCTGTTCTATGTACATTTCTTTTTTTTTTTTCCACATTTAATCATTTAATTACACTTGTAAGTATTCAACTGCTGAAGTGGGTATTCTTCCCCCTAAAAACAGCAATCAGTTTTAGGCATTCTTCTCAACAGAAATACTTAAAAAAAGTTCAGCTATAGAAAATAAAGCAATAATTTTTCTATTAATCATTGGATCAATTTGTTTTTCTGTTTTTAAGAGTTTTTGTTTCCCCAAATGATTCCCCATTTTCTTTCAATTATTACCTTGAGTTGAGGTTCACCTAAATCTTAGTTACCCCAAAAGAGAAGATATTGTGGTATACTGACAGCAATTTTCCCCCACAACCAGCTCTGAGACAGATAAGGGAGAGCAGGGCCACTCAAGAGAACAATGTCCAACTTTCTCGGCTTCCTGCCCTTCCACAGCAGCCAAGGTCACACCTGCACACATAGGAGAGGTCGTCCTCTCTCCTATGTACCCCCACTGACTCATTCTCCAGCTTCCACTGCTCTTTCACTCCCATTTCCACCCTCCCTGTAGTTCCAAAACAGTGGGGGTTGGGAGAGCAGCATTCTCAATATATAAGTACCAACTTCTCTCAATATCTTTTTTTTTTTTAATTTCTTTTCAGCATAACAGAATTCATTGTTTTTGCACCATACCCAGTGCTCTATGTACATTTCTAACCCAGCAACTCAAATTAAGTCAACTCTGGGGATAAAAACTTGTTCTGCAATCTAAGCCTGGTAAGGACTACTATTAGTCGGTTTAGAACTGGTCAAGAACATAAGGATATGAACAAAATAAAACCTTTCCTTCCCTTAGACAGTTGTGTGAATACTCACTGCAAACTACTTTTCCTGGGCTGTATACAGAATCTGTGTGTCAGTTCATTTGTGCCTCCTTGACGACAGAAGTCGGGGCCTAATGCTTGGCAAAAATAATTTGAACAGCATGCCACCCTCTCCCGTCTCTGCTGCCACAGTGATTCTAGACTTTGTGCAAAGCTACCCTAAGCAACTAGGGACTATAACTAGGGAAATGGAGTTCCTTAAAAAGCAAAGGGAATGGAGTTGCCAAAAGAGTTTCTAGGAGGATATGCCTGGAATTTGGGATTTTTGATTTGTGTTTCTACAAAGCCTGGGCAAGCTGCCCTACTAAAATTACCATTAAGTTGAATTTATGACCAAGTAATGGTACATTTCTCTCATTAAAGACAGATCTTCTCTATCTGTCTAGGCTAGAGGGTGACCTGTGTGGGAAAACAGTAAATCACTAGCCCCGCATTGCTCTTTTGTGCGCCTCGGGAGTGGAGGGGGATGCCAAAGCGGTTAAGGTCAGCTTTGTGATTTGTGTCCCAGGAGGGTAGAAAAATCAGTTTGGGGATTTGCTAAAGGATCAACAAAATAATTGATAAGCAGTGCACTGGCATGATTCTGCTGTTGGAATGCCTTTGAAACCGTTCCCAAATGGCACCAGGGATTAGGGAAGATTCTTGAACAGAGAATGATCTATGTGACCTGGGGCATACTTTAACTCTGTCTTCAACCTGGGTATGGTTGTGAAGAAAAATTAACCTCAGGGACATCCTTGTCTGGAGTAGGTAGAACAATGGCAGCAACCAAAGTTGAGCCCACAGAGCATTTAGGGACACCCTCAAAAAGCAGTCAGTTATTTGAGGGGTTTCCTCAAGTTTTGTACTAAAATCAAAGAAACAAAAGCAGGTGAAAATAAAACGATTTCAACACAGAAAAAAAAAAAAAAACCCACCCTGATTTCAGTCCTCAATCCCAAATTTTGGGACCAACAGCTTATGCTCTTTGCTCGAATTTTCCAGTGTCTCTTTGCTTTCAAATTTCTGGTTAAGGAATCAAGAATGATAATTGTAATATTTAATATTTATTGAGTGTCTGAAACCTTAGGCCAGGTACTGTACTAAGCCCTTTGCCTGCCTTCCATGTCTATCTCCACCATTATCCCGTGAGATGGGGATTTCTAGCTCCATTTTGCAGATGAGAACCCTAGGGTTCCCGGAAACCAACACAGAGATCATGCTATGACTCAGACCTCGATTAGGCTGTTTCTAAAGTTAAGCTCTTAAGCATTAAAATGCTCCAACAGAGGAAATAAACTTCTTTCCTTCAGATCCTACCTGTTCTTAATTCTCTAGGTCAAATATTTCAAATGTTTGATAAAATTTTGATATTATGAGGCTTAGTAATTAGTTACATGGAAATATCCCTTTTCAATTACTGCCACCATGTAGAAACCCATTCAATAAGTATTAGTTTCTTACCTCCAATTAACTGTATTTTTCTATTCCATACTTAGAATACTTAAAGGGGAAGCATTTTCAAGATAAACTCTCTACCTTAACTCCATTTAGCTTTCTGACACCATTCTTTTGTAAGTCTTACACTTTTTATATAGCCTCAGGTTCTTTCATAACATAAATCCTTTTGTATTATCAATGATTTGATTGTATGTTCTTCAAAACTTTATTCCTTTTAAGAAGTTATAATTTATTTCAACCATTTCAGAAATAAATTATTATAAGTCTTCGGGACAATTCATGCTTATAAGGCTTTCTGTAGCTATATAAAATAAGACTTCTGTGCATTGTGGTTGTTGGATGTGTATTTTCTCTCTCTCTCCTCCCACAATTGTAAACTATTATTCCACATACTGTCAGTGTGGCCTCACTAGTTATAATCTA